CTTTTTAATGTTCTTTTCTCGCTTACTACTTTTCTATTTTCTTTCTTATTTACAAATTTCTTTCATATTTGCAAAACCACTGAAAAATGACCATTAAATTTCCTTGTTCTGTTGCTTATCCTATTTCTTGGTAAAAAAAATCCCGGTCTAATAGCTTTGATTTTTCAGCTGATCACTGAATCCAATATAAATGATTCAAAGAAAAAAAAACTGAGGACTCTCAATGGAATAAATTTGATAAAGTTGCTGGATAAAAATTAATTTATCTTGAAATTAGTGTTGTTTTTTTGAAATCGTTTTTACAAGCTGACAACAAATAATGCATAGTTTAATACTTCAGCACTGTTTCCCGTCATTGGCGTAAGCTGTAAACGATTGCAAATATCAAAGAAGGAGAAATATAAAACTATGCTATGTTGCTTTCAGTGCTACCATAAATTTTCTCATTAATACTTCATATTCAGGTTTAAACTTTTTTTTTTTGCGAAAAAGTCAATCATCCAACAAACAATTGTTTTCCTTCCTTTCGCAATTTGACACTTTTGGCATACGTATCGTCAAAACCAATAATGACATTTTTATTTACTATACTTTAACCGTTTCAACAGTTCTGATCATTTTTTCAAACCACCTGTTTTTTTCTCACCGTTTACGATTGCGCTTTCTCAGCAACAGCTATGCAAAAGGCTCACCGATACTCCTCAGTTCCTTCCTGCTATGACTCCATTCACTGCTATACAATTAACATTTCCACCGAAAGTAGCGTGCGTGATCTGCGAAATTTTAGTTCTTCAATTTATTCATTCCTGCAAAAAATTGCATCTTTTGTAGCGCAAAAACGACCATGAATCTTCGTCATCTTCTTCATCTTGGGACCACATTGGTTCTTGCTGCCATTTCTACTACCACCTCGTCAACAGTAATCAACAAAGAAGACATTAAAATGAGGGTGATACGAAACACTCAAGGTTTAGACCTCTTGTCAACAAAATGTGTATTGCTTTGCTAAGTTGACTATCAACTTTTCTACTGCAACGTACCGTCCAAATAAATACTGAAATTTTATTCTTTTTTACACTAAGAAATTTCCTTGGAGAAAAAAATTATTTTGAGCACCTAAAATATAAAATAAAAAAAAAAAACACTGAGATTTTTATATGGTTTTTTTTATTTACAGATAATGACCACTGCAAACTTTCCAATTTGCAAAGTGTGATAACCAACCAGGAGTTTCTTGTGATAGGTCGAAGTTCAACTTGTGAAGTATTTCTATTTACCATTTATCAAATGGAAAATTTAACATTTAATTTGCCTATATCTGGTGAACGCTTCAAACAAGAATGTATGGATTTAATTGAGCCTATGTTTTATTTCAACGACACAACACAAAGTACGTTTTTTTTTTTATAAAGATTTTACTGTCCAGTAACTTTACGCCCAAAATATTTAACAACGAGAAATTAAAATTATGTGCCGACTAAAGTTTATAAAGACAGTTATCTGCTGTAACATATTTAGATTACGATGTATTTCTTGGCACTACCTCAGAACTATACGCGTTCGACTGTGACTGGAAACTTTCTTCTTCCGGTCACTATAACTGTTATTTAGACCCGTCGCGAGCAAGGAAAATTAAATTAGGTTATGAGCAAACAGTTAAAGAAAATTATGGAATTTTCAATAAGCCAGAAACCAAGACAGTTAATGTGCTATACAAAAAATGTAAACTTCTAATAATTGATTTTTTTTTCTTTTTTTTTTTTGCAATAGTTCTGAGTGATTTTTTCTAAAAGTAGGAGAGCTTGTCAATTAAAGTTGTCTTATCAATAACGAAGAACTCTGTTACTGTAGAATATTATTATGTTTTAGTAGGACGCCGTTTTAATGGAAAATTTTCTCTGAACGACGGGAAATTTATTGACGAAAACATGTTTAATCATACGATTAAGAAACCTATTGCTTATGATGTTGACCTACAGGTAAGTCCACTTTTATTACTCATGTGATCCACTGTTCTAAAAAAGTCATTTTTCAACTGTATTAACAGTCAGTTTCCTATTTGAAAGCTGAAAACCGACATAATAACTGTGAAAAGCAGAAGAGAAGAAAAAATAAAGAAAAGAAAATGAAATGAAGAGCAGTCGAAATGATTAGAAAAATCAATCATCTAAGAATTATTTGATTGAATATATCAATCGGGGGGAAACAGTTTTTAACTACAAAGATCTAATTAAATTATTAGTTTTTGTTCAGATACTGCATCTTTTAACTTAAAATAGAATTTGCAAGTAGATCCATAATGAAACGGTGTTGAGTATTGTTAAGCAGCAATAAACCGTACGATCAAAAAACAAAAAATTTTTTTAATATTTCTTATCCTTCCAAGTGGTCAACAAGTTAGATTACCAATAAAAAGCCTAATAATAATGCTTACTTTTTGTCAGTTAATTTTTGCAGCGTCTTTACTTTTATAAAGGAGGAAAACTGCATTACATAGAGGAAGAAACTACTGAACATGAAGATTCTAATATACCTGAGAATCCTGTAGAGAATTTGAGCGGTGATTTCGACCAAATTTCATTTAGTGGAGACTTCTTCATTACCAGAAAGGTAATCATCATCCCGTTGACTAATTTTGACGTTTTCTTCCTATTTCTTGCACCATAAAAGTGCATTTATAATCGAATAATTAGATTAAAGAAAGCAAATAAAACTTTTTTTTTTAAACTACGTCTTGAGGGACTTTTTAAGACTGTTCTGCAGCCTTCCTTTATCCGGTAAATTCTTTGTTCAGATGGAAGGGGACGTATTCGAATTTTACGCCGGCAGCGTGCTTGGAAAAACACTTCTTTGTATTGGGCGAACAACTGATGAAAATTTAGTAATGAAAATTCTGGTGGAACAATCAGGTCAAAAATCTCTATACGATGCCATATCCAGCAGATTCAAACCACAGCCACCATCCACCACAGTTACAACAGCAACGACAGAAACGAAAACCGGTGAATCTTCAACTGCGCAAACTTCAATTCTATTATTACTATCTTTTAACGCTGTATTACAGCTGTTGAAGTAAATCCTAATTTTGCTAAATATGCAGAATATGGGCTGTTTTTTTTTTTTTTGCCAATTTACGCCTCTCGTTGAGATGGACTCATAAGGAAAAGAAGAGTGTAACTGATGACAACGAAAAAGTTGAGAAAAAATCTTTTCTTCACTTTTTCTTACTTTTTCTCTATTTATGACCGACAAAGTAACTTATCACTCTGTTATTTTTCAATACTTTTTTTTTTTTACGTCCATTCAGTTTTCTCTGGAAGCAGTCTTTGCGAGCCTTTATTTTTGCCTACAACCAAAACTTGATATTTTTAGCTTAGGTAATAAATCAAGTCAAATAAAGAAGAACTAGAGAAGGGAGGAGAAGAAGATGATAACAAAATTTTTTATCGCTAAATTATCCTATTACTTTGCTGAGTTTACCGTTTAAAGACATTTTTTTTGGCTAACCAGCAGTAAAAACGCAACTGTTTGTTAGTAACTGATTTTTATGTTTTCCTCAAAATTCAAAAATTGGTGATTCTTATCATTTATTCTTCTCCTGCATTAGTCATTTTCAGCTTCTCCTAATCTTCCTTACCTCTTTCATTCTCCAAAAAAATAAAAATAAAAATAAAAAGAACAGTAACCTCATAATACTTGTCAAAATAGTTTTTTTTCCTTTGCCAGAGAAAGAAATCATATAAAAAAAAAGAGGATTTTTATAATAATTTTACTAAATTCACTTATTTTTTTTT